TCAAATGACTGAAGTAGGGGTACATGTACCGGCCCATGTTGATATTTAAACATACTTATCTTGCATTGCACCCGACTAAGGTTTATACTTGAACCTTAGGCGGGAATTTATTGTGGTATTCAGGATGAGTCACATTACTTTATAAAGTGTCTAAATAAGTGTTGTATTGTATTGATTTAGTATCGTTTTTCCAGTTAACTAAATTATTAGACCAATGAAATAGAACTCTTACCGGTCCACCATAGACTATCAGCAAGCTTCTTTTGCTTGAAATGATGGTTCCAATTGCTCTTGAAATGCCGTATGCACCATCTCTGTGACCACTTCCAGGCTGGATCCATAAGATGGCAACCCTTATAACGGCGTGGCGATCATAGATGATGGTTAGGTTCGTCCGCCTGGTGATGTGGAGTTGAATTTGTATGAAGGACCATCCATAGCTGTCAGTATTCTCTCCCTCAACAATGGCAAAAGCTAATTGAAATACTGCTCTATTTGCATCTACTCCGCTGGCGATCAGTAGAGTACCCTTGTACTTGCCGGTAAGGAATGTTCCATTAACTTGAATCACAGGAACACAGAATGGAAAACCATCAATACATGGCTTGAATGACTAGAAAAGACGATTGAATTGGCACTTGTCACCGAGCTTCGATGACTGAATTTCTTCATCTTGGTAGCGGGGAGAGAAAACGGTGCCAGGGTTAGACCCCTCCAATGTCAAAATCAATCTGGGAAGGAATGCATATGATTCTTCCCAGTCACCAAACACGGCGGTCATTGCTTTCTGCTTTCCATGCCACGCCTTCTTGTAGTTAATGATATATCCATAACGATTAGAAATGTCGGCGATGATGGTTTTAACCTTCAGGTCGGGCTGCTCCTCAATTAGATGTTTGATAGTCGCGGCAACCACCCTGGATTTCAATTGTCTATGGCCTTGGTATGTTATGGATGACTCACATATGTGAGTGTTCACCGCACGGGATATGACTCAATGGCCGACTCTCTTGCTCTTGATGGCCCGGACCCTAGCTTGCATCCCTCGTGTTGATTTTGGCATCTAACCATCAGCCTCTTCGTATCGCAATGGGTTGTGTGCCATTAAAAACTCCAAGTCATTACTTCAATGGCAATAGCGTACCGCACCTCATTCTTCGTTGCAAATTGTTGGCCCTTCGTAAAGCAGTGAGTGGACCCCATACTCGCACCTCTGGCGACTCCATGTCGGCATCAACATACCAATCTTCATTTGGAATGTGATTGTAGTACGGGATAGGTACACGGTCGCGAAGCACCTCATCACCATCAGCGTCTGGATCTGGACCGGAATCATCAGCACCTTCAAGAGGATCGAAGTTGTCTGCACTGACATTTCCTTCCTTTTCTTCAACCTCAGGGTCACTAACTAGACTTGGATTAACATCTTCCATCTGATCAAGATCATGAAAGGTACATTCATCAGCTCCGTTATGGTAGTTGTGGTAACTACTGCCGCCTTGGTAGAAATTGTACTCGGGTTGGTACTAGTAGCCTTCTTGTTGGTTCTCATCCGCCTGTTGAGCTTCTTCTTCATATCCTGGGAAGGATTGATGATGACCTCCAGTTCCATCATGATACTCCTGGCACCAGCTTGGGTCTTGGTACTCCTGGTGGGGATGATCTTCTTATAATCGACCCCCACCGTAGATACCAGATGTTTGGCCATCTCTAGAATGACCTACACCGCCTTCTAGCGCCTCGATGTAAACGGACATCTCCGCCTTGGTGTAAACGAACATCTCCGCTCGGTGGTCAAAAATTGGACCATGGCATCAACGTCCTCCTTAGTGGTAATGAGGAATTCCTCATTCGACAATGGCCTACCATGTCTGTTTGGATATCGATACACCATATGATCAACTCTTCTAGTGCCATCCATGCAGGTAACCTCAGTGCACATTTGATGGAACTCTTCAAGCATCGGTCCCGGAGCGACCTTCATTTTATAACTTAATTACGTAATGTACACCCTTTCCGGTCTCTTCCGTGTAACCATTCCACCGTAACCCAAGCGCGAACTTTTGGAATGTCATCTCCAATAAAACCATAATTAAGTTACTACCATAAAAATCACAAATGACAATGAAAAGTAATGCAAAACAAACTTACGATTTAACGTTAATCGCAAAAACTAAAAAAATTAAAGGGGCACAACTGAAATTTGAAGAAGAAGAAGAAGAAGAAGAAGGAGAGGAGTGAAGATTTTGAGTTTTCTGGGGCTGCCTTTTATAGCCAAATTTTACACTGAAAATCGAAGGGGGGAGCGGTTTTAGTCTGGCATGCAACCCCCACCCCTGCAACCTCCTATATGCCGACATGTCGGATGTCAAGGGAATGGGGCTGAGGCACAAACCGGTTGGGGGGGGGCATCGACATAATAAACCGCTTACCTTGGGGGCGGTTGATGTTGCCGACACATAACAACTCCCACAACACGGGATTTGTGTTAGGGAAGCCATGGGAACCGCTCCTTAGAAGAGCGATTTTTCCAAAAAACACAAACCGCTCCTCTGGCATGTGGTTCCATGGTAAACCGCCGCCTTGCTATGCGGTTTTTATTGTAACCGCCCCTGCGTGGTGCGATTTTCAATTAAGGGTGGTAGATTTCAAATTTGTTCGGTATGAGTGATAATTTTGGATTTTTTCAGATGTATGAGACCCACTTTCATATATTGTTTCTTCTTTTCCTACCCACAATTTGTATTATTTCATATTGTTATTTTTAAGTTGTCGATCATAAAAATAATTTGTATATAACTAATTAATTAATTTGAGATGTAATTGTGATACACATTTTTTTGTTGTAACGTATTTGTTAGAATTTTTTTCATCCAACTACAAATGGAAAAGAACATGTATAGCTATAACTAGATTAGGTTCCGGCCTGTTGGCCGGATAAAAGCAAAAATTCAACAATTATACTTATTGTATACTATTAATATTGAGAAATGTTTTTTGTCTTAGCAATATACTAAATATAAAAAAATATGAATATTTTAATTTATCAATACTCTGTTCCTTTGTGGATATTCGATAAAATTTATCAATACTCTTCTTGTTGGTAATTTGATTATTTATCTTAACTTTCTATTTCTAATATAATGGATACTATGATGATGATTTTTATCTTAACTTTCTATTTCTAATATAATGGATACTATGATGATGATTTATTCATTTGAAATAAGGGATGAACATTCACTGTAAGTTTCATTCAAAATATTAATGAAGATTCACTAAAAACCCAGAATATATAGGTTAATGCTAGAGTATGCCACCTATGTGCTCACACTTATTATTTGTATTTTGATAATTTTTTGTTTCCGATGTACTTTGATAATTTTTATTAATTTGAACCGTTGGTTTTCAATTCAAAATTAAATGAATCTTATGATTTGGGTTAGAAAATTGAGGACTGGGGTTCACCCATTAGAATTTAGGGTATAGTATCATGCCTCAAACTCCAATTGATTCAAGATCTAAATAGCAAAACTCGACAGATGTACGCTGGCCTCAGTGTAGTCAAAATTGCGCATTAAAACGTAAAAACTTACGTTTTTACGTATCCAGGCCACCAAAACGTTTCAGTTTCTACCTAAAGTCGCTTAGTCACAAAAACTGGTAAAAACATGGGTAAAATCGGTAAAATCGCTTAAAATCGGTAAAATCGCGATTCTGAAGCGTTTTTATACGATTTTGTTCATCTCATAAAAATGTGCTAATTGGCCCAAAATGATGTAATTTTGGAGACATATCAGCAAAAAATAAAAAAAAATAAAAACATGATTCATCACTCGTTCTACAACTAATGTTGAGATAGGGGCTTCACATTAGGTTGAAAAGACACCTAATGATATTGTCAATAGCCGCTGACCTTCTACCAGTCTTCTCCCTTTATGGGTAATTGATCGTATGTAATTATGTAAAATCAAACCAGCTTATGAGAATTTGGATTCTCAAGCTTGTTTACGGGTACGATCTACGTTTATGAGCTTATTATTAAGATGTTATGAGTTTTCTCTACTTTTGAGTCAACACAAATTAGTTTATGTGTTAGATATTACATTTTAATTATGAATTTCATGTAGTTATTCACTTATCTAAAATCTACACACTCACATTTTACATACTATATGTGGTACTTAACATAGTTTAGCTATTTTAAAGGGCGCGTCAAAAACTTACGCTTTTACGCTTTGATTCTACGTTTTACGATTTTACCCATTTTCCGCTTCTAGGTAGAATCGCGCTTTTAACTGCATTGGCTGGCCTAAAACCGTAATATATATGGGTTTTTGGTTAATTTGATACATTATTATAGGGTTAATTGCATGGTTGGTCAGTGTGATTACAAAAAACGTTCAAGTTTGGTCACTCGGAATATTTAAATCTATTGGTGGTACTTCAGTTTACTGAAACCGTTCAAGATGCATATTTGATTTCCCAAATCCTTCCCCATCTTCCAAAAAAAAAAAAAAACCAAACTTCACAAGTCCTTCACTTCGTCTCCTCATCTCGCCCAGAATACATACACACAAAAAAATCCCCAAATCCGGCAAAGACAACTTTCCCAATCATCTAATCTCGGCGAGCCGGCGTTCACTGATTCTCTCCATCTAAACCCCACACCTCTCTCCAGTTGACAGATCTGAAATGTCCCGGCGATAATTCGTTGGCGACCAGCAGCCCATCGCCGTCCTCCCTTCACAACGCGTCGCGGCGCCGCATCATCGTCGACCGCCTCGACGCACACGCCGACTTCAACAGAGCACCGTTCAGTCCTCGCCACCGCGGCACAAGCCGCCAGTTTCGCCTCTCAGCTGCAACGTTATCTTTGACCATCGGCAGATCCAGTAGCACAAGACAACGGCCGGTAGCGAGATCCGACTTCCTCAGCATCCTCAGCTTTGTGGCGCTTGTACTCAGTCCGGTCAAAACTTCTCTCCGGCAACCACGCCATGCCACTTTGCTCAACAGCCATCATCGTCGACAAGGCCAAGAAAGGCTCAATGGTATCAGTCCGTCCCGGCGGCGTAGATAGCGCGGCGACGGGAGGGCATTTCGGGGATAGGAAGGAATTCTGGCAAGTTGTGGGGAGAAAAGAGGGTAGGATCGTAAACACGTGGCGGGAGGGATTGTGGAGCGAGGGATTTGTGGATATTGACGGTGGCGGCGGGAGGGACGAGGTGGTGGTTGGCGATTACAATGAAGGGAATTACAAGGAAGCGGTCGGTTCGGAGGTGGAAGGAGCGGGTTCGGAGGTGGAAGGGCGAAAATAAATTATGTTTTTTATTTTTTATTTTTTAATGAATGCGATAATGAGGAGGAAAATATAAAAATTTATTTTTTAATTTTTAATAAATTTTTAGTTGCCACGTCACTAACTTAACAGTCAACTTTGAGAGATGTCTTCCATATGAGCAAAAGTTACGGAGCTGGACGGAGAGTGACCAAACGTGAATGGTTTCAATAAACTGAAGTACCATCAATGGATTTAAATATTTTGAGTGACCAAACTTGAACGTTTTTTGTAATCTCAGTGACCAACCATTCAATTCACCCCATTATTATATTTTCTACGTGGCTAGCCAATTAATGGTATAAAAAAAATCTAACATTTTAGTCTTATCCAATCATATACATGTTCAAGCTCAATGAACAATGAATCTTATTTTCAACATACTTCGTTTGATCAAGTTTTTCTTGACTCCATGATTGATGATTTTTAACCTCCAAACATTACATTTCAAAATTTACTCATTCTTTTGGAGTGGTCCTCAAATTTTGCCTGCTTTGGATTAGTCCTTAAGTCGTGACATATCCTCTATTTATAAGATTAATGGAACTAGTGAGAGAGGAAGGGTTGAAGAACATATCATCTATGTATAAGAAATGTGCATTGCTTACAAAAATTTATCGAAGTAGATCTATTAATTGAGATTGAATCAATATATTTAAATAAAATTTTATTTATTTCTCTATCCCATTCAAACAGTTGCGCCTTTTACTATAGAGGTATACATATATGGGTTGGGTGGCTTTTTACCATAGTTAGTAAATAATTCATCTAGTACACGTATATGTACCTGTACGTATTTTATCCGTTTAAAATTTTTGTTTCTGTATTATTGTCAAGTCGTTTCATTCTTTTCCGTTCATTTGATGGCTCGCATATAAAACACGTATTAAATCCGTATAACACGTTTAATATCTGTATTAAATGAATTAAGTTGTGAACTTTACTATTATTTGTATTTTTTTTATTTTAAAATAGTTAATTTTATATATTTATGACTATTAACGTACTTTTAAATGTAACATTAGGTTTGAAACAAAGTAAAATACCTGTATGTATTTTATATGTAACTTTCTCATATTTTACTCACTATGCTTTTTACCCTTTCAACTATCCAATACATATAACTCGATTTGAATAATAAAATATTCAAATTAATTACTTGAATATTTATTAATTCCCAAAAAGTGTACGTAATTGGTAAATAATTAATACCACGGCTGTAGCAGTGGATCGAATGGCGACAGAGGAGGATATCCTTTATTGGCGGCCCACCTCTGATGGGAAATTTTCAACCAAAAGTGTGTTTGCAATGCTCCAGCATACCCCGAACAGCTCGGACCAGCATTGGTGGAAGAGCATTTGGCAGCTGCCCGTTCCGGAACGTGTACGTTGTTTCATTTGGTTAGTAGCCCATGAGAAGATCAGCTGCAATGTGCAAAGAGCAGCAAGGCACATCACTGAAGACCCATGTTGCTACAGGTGCTCCTCGTAGCTAGAGATAGTCTCGCATATCCTTCGAGAATGCCCGCCAGCTGCCTTCTTATGGGCACGCACTGTTCCGACAGAACTTCACCGAGAGTTCTTTAGCCTCCCCATCGGCCAGTGGCTAAGAAGGAATCTGGAAAAGGATGATACCTCCCCTACCGCCGTGCCTTGGAAGGCGTTTTCAGCATTGCCCTCTGGAACCTGTGGAAGAACAGGAATGATGGTGCTTTTAGTGGAGGCCAGAAGACACTCTCCCCTTCATCTCTCACCCAGGCGATTAGAGTCAAGGCGGAGTGATGGTATAATGCCTGGAAGGCCCCGATGGACATTATAGGCTGACATCAGAGCCTGCCCACCCGCGCGCGTCCAAAGATTGGATGGTCTCCACCTCCACCAGGATGGACTAAAATCAATGTAGATGGAGCTTTTAATGAAGCTCAGGGCCTTGCAGGGGCCGGCGGTGCACTTCGAGATGAGAACAGGAACTCGCCTGCAGGTTTTGTCTCGCACCTTGGTTCGTGCCCGGCCACCATGGCAGAAATTTGGGCGATCTATCATGGGCTCAAGGTGGCATGGAAACTTGGCTTCAAGTTGATCGTTTTGGAATGGGATTCACAGACCGCGATCTAGCTTATCCACAACAGGTCGGACCCCCTTCACCCGTATGCGACCCTGCTCTCGACAATTAGATGAATGATCTCTCAGAACTGGGTAGTGAAACTAGTTCACACTTATCGGGAAGGGAATAAAGTTACGGACTGGCTCTCGAAGCACAATCTCGTCTATCCCTACGGTTTGTACGAACTGGAGACACCACCCCATGGGTTGATTACACTCCTCGAGGAGGATAGCAGTGGAGTGACTTTCCCTAGGAACGTTATTTATACTCCTCCCGCCATGTTTCCTTAATCCTGCTTCCACTGTAATTCTCCTTTCTTTGGCATTTTGCCTCCTTCAATGCAATATTAATAATAATAATAATAATAATAATAACAATAATTAATACTCAAGTTTTGCCCTCTTTCAGTGACCTTTCAGTAATATTCTGATGCCTTTTTATTTAATGGACTCCTTCCAGTAATTAAGCAAAACGACCAAGGGGTCCTTCCGTGCTACGCGTACAGCATCTAGTTAACGGTCAAACTTTATAGTTGACTGCCACGTAGGACAAACTTAACGGAGTGTAACGGTCGGTGACCAACCGTGAAACGATTCGTAAAGTTAGTGGCGAATAAGAAAGAAAAGTAATTCGGGTGGCAAATGTGAAAATTTTGTATAATTTGAGTGACCAAACGTGTATTTTAGCCGTTTTTTATATAAGAAAGCAACACAAAAAAAAGGTAGGGACATAGTTGGAAGACAAAAAGACTCAACAATCTCAATCAAACAATCTCACAAAAAATTTGAGATTTAATTATCACTCATTTTGAGTGATAGTTTGTGTCATTTGAAGCAAACAATGCATGTATTGTTTGTGCAGAAAATTCAAAAAAATAATGCATTATGGACAATACATGCATTGTAACTATTTCAATCAAACAATCACCAAAACCAAACGACCCCTTAGACCATTGGATTTTTTTTCGTTGAATCAGTTACCCTTTCTATTAAGCAAAGAATTGCAAATAAGCAATTCAATAATCAATACAACAAAATGGGTCGCCATTGTGGCTCCCCATAGCAGGAAATGAAAAAATGAGACAAAGATGAGACAAAAAACCTACAACCATCACCAACTACAAACCACTAATAATACTGCAATCTTAACAGTCTTAAATCCTGCTTCATTAGCTCTTGTACTGCCGCTGCATCCTGATCCTGCTCAACATGACATCTTCTGCATCTCTCCTGCCATATATACGTAATCAAAAGGCACCATTTGACTCCAATCAAACTGTTCGGGTTCCTCTGAACAACATAACAGATTGCCTGCAAAGACTCTGCCCAGCAAGATCTGCACACCAGCTCAACCTGCAAAAAGCCATGCACCATCTGCTTAACATACTCGCAAGTAAAGAATAAATGATCAAGCGTCTCACTTCCATTGCCACAGAGAACACAACCATCCTCACTTAACTTTCCCCAACGCAAGAGCTTATTTTTAGTAGTGATTCCATCAAGTATAACTAGCCAGGCAATAAAACTGAATCGAGGAACACTGCTCTGTCCCCAAACCACTTTATACCAGGGCACTACACTGTACTTAGGGTGCAGGGAATCCCAGACCAGGTTGACTGAGTACTTTTCCATAGGTACACCATTCCACATAGCACAATCCCCTTGCATGCTGATAAGAGAATGAACATGGGAACGTTTCTTCAGAATTCGTCGCCAAGCCCAGGAGCTATTTGCATTCTCCTTCATAGTCCAGATGTCCCCTGTCCTACAGCGATACTGAAGCATCCAGGCTACCCATATAGCCCCTGACTGCATCATAGACCATTGGATTTTAACCATGTGTATACAAATATAAATTTTATCACGACAACATGATGTAATATGTTTTGCAATTTTATTTTACATTGAACTGTAAAACTAGTTTACTGTGAATCCCAAAATGTTTTTCTCTTCCCTAAAAAAGTATTAGAAATTTAATTTGTTTGAGGAAAATGACTAAATGAGTGCTGATTGGGAACCACTGGGAAGGATAGAATAGAACTAGAAAGGACAGATGCTGTGGGTGCGTGTGGGGGTGGGAGGGAGAGCGAGTGTGGGTTCTGTGTGGCAATTGTACCATATATTCAATTATATTCATATATCCGCGGTGGCGCGTGTAGTAAAGTGGAAAGGGGAAAGGCGCGTAGCCTAGTTCGTTCCATTTTCCACAAAGTATAAAACCAAAAAGAAAGTATAGAGTAATACTGTAGACACTCGGCATATAGTAAGTTGGTGGATGTGGACCGGCTATTCCCGGTAACCTCCTAAATAAATTCCCAGCGGAACTTAGACTACCTATCGGGTCGGGTCCTACCCGCGACTTGCCGGCAGCACTAATTTACCATTACTTCCTCTCAGCCGCAAATCCAACTAATACTCTCCCACCCTTCATTAGGGGGACTATAAATTTCCTTCCAACTTCAATTTTCTACCGGATAGGCTTATTTCAAGGGAACATTTGTGGAAATGTCAATTTGAAAATGATATCATTGTTGGGTAAGCCTGGCTATTTATCTGTTCAATACAATCAATTCCATATTGTTAAGAAATCAATTCATTATAGTTAGACCCGAGTCTAATTGAATCTTGGAGTAGTTAGTCAACTAGTCTCGATCTGTTGGGCTTGATAACTTAGTGTTAAGAACTCGGTTCTCCCGTGTTTCTCTTTTTTCTTCTCCTCTTGTAATCCAATGTTTTCCGAAGCATTGGATTCCTAGTTTTATACTGAAATTTGTCAATTTTGGCTACTTCAAGCTGCTCCCATTAGATAGGACGATCAATTGTATGAGCTGACAAACTCTCCATGTACTGAGTGAGCTCGAACGTCTCTCTTAATCA